AACAATCATTGCCAACACCGTCAGCGCCTTACAAATGAAGAAAGCCCCAGGGCACGATGGCATCTCGACCAAAGCACTGAAGCATCTCAAATTCGCTCATTTTCCTAACTCATGGAAGCAAGCTATAATAATTGTTTTTGCTAAACCGCAACAAAATCCAACTCTCCCACAGAACTATCGCCTTATCAGTTTTAGCCACCTGTCTAAAGTTACTGAGAAAATTCTACTTTTCCACATCCAAAAAATTCACCCTTCCATGAATTTTCTCCCAGAAGAACAATTCGGTTTTCGTAATCATCATAGCACTTGCCACCAACTTCTTAGAGTTATCAACATTATCACTGAAGGCTACAACTGCAAGCTTCCGACCGGTGCTATATTTCTCGATATCGCGAAAGCTTTTGACAGGGTATGGCATCGAGGACTTATTTACAAACTAATCATTCTCAATTTTCCAGATCATTTTATTCGCTTAATAGCCTCTTTTCTCAGCAACAGAACATTCAGAATCAAAATCGGTACTGCTTACTCTACCACCAGAGTAATCAATGATGGTGTCCCACAGGGGTCGGCACTTTCGCCGTACCTTTTTAATGTTTATACACAAGATATCCCTAAAGACCCTTCTGTTCATCTTGCACTCTTTGCCGATGACACCTCCATACTTACTAAAGCCTGCACTGTTATTGCCGTAAGAAACCAACTCCAAAGCTATCTCATAAAACTGGAAAAATGGCTTACCCTTTGGAGGATTAAAATTAACACTGATAAAACTAAGGCAATAATTTTCCGTAAAGGAAACATGAAATACTATCCTCCACCCCCTGAAATATTTAACGAAGAAATAGACTGGATTAATGAAACCAAATACCTTGGAGTCACCCTTGACCAAAAACTTACCTTCAGAACCCATTTCCGGTCCGTAGTACAAAAATTTAAAATCACCACAGCTACTATGCGACCTCTTCTTGGTAGAAAAAGCAACTTATCTACTACAAATAAATTAATTCTATATCGTTCCATACTGCGCCCAGCTCTTCTTTATGCAGCACCGATCTGGGGACATGCAGCTAAAACCAATATTAAACAATTACAAATTCTACAAAATAAAATTTTACGAGAAATTATCAATGCTCCTTGGTATATTCCCAACATCTATATCCACAGAGACCTTCGAATGGAACTTATTCAAGAGTATATTAAACGATTAGAGGTCAACTTCTTTTATTCAGTACAAACCCACAGTAATAGCCTTATTAGCACTCTCAGACACTCCCCACGTCCCAGAGAAAAACATCGCTACCCTTCTGATATCCTCCCCACATAAGATTCACAACCTTAATTGACTCATTCACGCAAAACTGACTCTGCGGTTTTACCACCCACGGCTTCATCTTATAACGACACTGAACTTGACACCCGCCTTTTCTCGCCGCCGCTAGTGCGGACCTCACTCTCTTTCATCCACCTCCCACACTCCTTTCACCCTTCTCCCTCTCTCCCCCTCCTGCTCTTTATCAGAAGTCGAGTAAAAAGATGTTTCTACATCTTGACACTCGAGAATAAAATACGATCTGTGTGTGTGTGTTCTTATCAGCAATTCATATCCTTCGGAGGCCCCTCCTTTCGTGCTTAGGAATTTCTTGAGAGGCAAAAATGGGTATCTCTTGACCATCGATGAGTATAGATTGTGATTTTTGTAACTAAGATCCTCGACTTTTTTTTTTTTTCAGGTCTCATACTTAGAATTATGAGCAAATATAAATACAGTGTGACGGAATTTGTTAAACTTGTACTATAATAAATTACAACGGTTAACTTAATAAATTAATTTTATATTTAACTAATATTTAAGAAAAGTAAATTATACAGTAAAAACAAACTAATTATACAGTAAAAACATACTGTATAATTTATTTTTGCTGAAATGCTCTCACACTGTGTATGGATTTATGAATTTGTCAATTACTGTTTTTCTGATATATACATGAATTTTTTGGGAACGGTAATAGTTAATGTTACTTTAGTTAAAATATTATGCACATCTCTGTGATGATATATGTCTTTTCTTCTTAGGTCTCAAGATAAGGGCATACACATTACCATGTAGGAATTCATTTATTGTACTAATTTTTTTTTTTGCAAACGAACTCCTTTTAACTACTAACTCATGGACACAATCGTATTTTAGGATATTTTCTACTTCTTTTCCTTTTTTTCTATAGGCCCCTTTTTTTCCCCCTCTATTATTTTTGGGCCATTTATTTTAAATTTTATTTTGTCCCATCTTTTCTTTCTGGCCGTTTGAACTCGTACAAAATATACGAAGTTCCTTTTTACTCTCCTCAAATACGAAATTGCCTCTCTTTCTATATACCTTTCTTTCGCACCTATGCCACCCTCCGTACGTCACTGCGCATGTGCGAAATAACATCCAGCATGCCGTCAGCAATATTAGCAATCTTTTACCGCGTTGTTTGAAAAGGTTCTTTGTTGTAGTCAGAGGTACTTGGTTCTCAGGGATAATAGGATCTCTTCTAAGTCCTGCTTGGTTCTAATTATGTAAAATTCTTTAGAAGACTTTTCAAATGTAATGTTGTAAGTGAAATGGTTTTGGCTATAGGGTGCAAACTTTGCTCTTGATTTTCATAATGGTCATTCCAAATAATTGTCTGAACGTTTTCATTGTAATTTTTTTTAAAGTTATTGTCGGATAATTATAATGTATTTCAGTGTTTTCAATTTATTTTGGGGTGCTTTGGGTGGTCTTTAATTATTTTTTCTGTTTAAGTTAGTTATAAGCAAATTCTGCTTTTAAAATTTCACTGTAAAATTTTAACTATGGATTCATAAAAATTTATTACGTATTGTATGGCATTGTTTTCCCCCCCTTTTTAAGTTTACAGAATTAAATGTACCCCATTTGTTGAATAATTTTGGATACAATAGAAATAGATTCTTTTGCAAAATTTAGAATTAAATGAAAAATCCAAGCATACAGCAATTTTACAATTATTAGTTTGTATAGCAAAGGTGGAAATTGTGTCATCAAAAAGAAAATCATTTTTGTAATTTTTATTTTAAAAAAAAATTTATTGCCTAATTTTATAATTTGAAATAATTTTTGTCCCAATGGCTACAATATTTGTTTGATGTAACAATATTTATTTGATTCAGTAAATTATTTACAAAATTTCTTCCCATGGTTTTAATAATACCTGTAGGTTTGATTTTCAAATTAAGTATTTAATCTTATGTTAATGCATGTAAGAAGTATTGAGTATTTTACGAAAAAAGAATGAAATCAGCTATTTTAATAATTTATGTGAAATTCTTTAAAAGACCTTTTAAGTGTAATTTTGTATTTGTTAATTTAAGTGATATGATTTTGGCTCTTGGTTGCAAACATTGCTCATGGTTTTCATAATGGTCATTCCAAATAATTGTCTAAAAAATTCCTTGGTATTTGTGAAGATGCTTAAAATTATTTTGCATACCTATATTCTGAAACTTGAGAAGTGTCAATAAATATTGTTTTACTTAAAATATGTTATTCTTTATTTTAATATTTAATAATATGCTTGATATGAAAACAATTACAAAAATAGCGTTATTTATGTAATTAACTGCAGTAGTTATAAATTAATGCTGGATATTATATCAAATGAAAAAAAATATATAATTTATTCATTTTTTTTTTAAATTCATTTTGCAGTTGAACTTAGGATGTTCCATGCAAAACAATTAAAGATAAGAACATAAGAGATCAACTTCACAATTTATCTAAAACAAAAGTCTCTGAATTCTGTTAAGTACTAAGAAATTTATTTCATTTAAATTTTGTCTTCGTATGGCTCGTGTTTAAATTGAAAGTAAAAATTGGATAGGATTCCTATAACTCGCCCAAAATTCCAACTAACATCATTTTGCTCATAAAACTCAGATATGTATGAAAATAAAACATTTTGAGTTATTTCGAAGTAAAAAATTTACTATCTCCTCGGACGGCGCTATCTAAATTTCACCCTGCGCTGGTGTTTCACTGCATAGCCGTGGCTCTTCGGTATAGCGGCGCAGAGGCGAAACAGGTTTACATTGCGTCTATGGAAGCTTTCATTCTTTTCCTACTAGCGTCTACATCCCAAAACGGCAGTCTATGAGAGAGGCGATTCTATTATTTTCATCGGGGAGTAGGGAAGTTAGAATGGTTTTCTGAGGAATGCCAACGGCAGTGCACGATGTTTGCTTACATTAGGAAGTTCAGAAAATTGCAAAGGTGGATTGCCTTAGTTTCTTCAGTTACTTTCAGGGAAATATTAGGCAGATTTTTTGGTTTGCTGATAGAGGGCAAATAGAAAATTTACCTTTATAAATCCGCGTTTATCTGTTTAAACTTCAGAAGATTTAAGATGAAGCGAATATATTTAACACAACGGAAAGCAAGATTAAGACTTTTAAATCTTTTAAAAAAACAATACATCGATAATTAAAAATATTATTTATAGTTCATTATTAAAAACATTTTATAAATGCATAGTTATCATATAATTAACACTTCATCCATGCATTATCTCATTATTTATTATAATTAGAAGAGAAGATATTTTTTACAGTAATGTTTAAAAATTTGCTGTTATCTTTTAAAAGATTTATAAGTCTTAAGATTGTGTTGTGTTAAATATATTCGCTTCATCTTAAATCTTCTGAAGTTTAAATAGATAAACGCAGATTATAAAGGTAAATTGTCTATTTGCCCTCTGTCAAGAAACCGAAAAAAAACTGCCTATTTCTCTGTAAGTAACCGTAGAAACTAAGGCAATCCACCTTAGGAACTTTTTGAACTTCCTAATGTAAGCAAACATATAGCCAACTGCCGTTGCATTCCTCAGAAAACCATTCTAACTCCCCTACTCCCCGATGAAAATAATAGAATCGCCTCGCTCATAGGCTGCCGTTTTGGGATGTAGACGCTAGTTTCTTTTCCTTAGATATTCTTTGGCCGTAGGCAACGTTGTTTAAAATGGCGCCAAGTCTTAGATCAGATTCTGTTCCAGAACTAAGTACTATAGAAGAAAAGCTTGATTTTACTCTTCCTGTTCTTCATGAAGATGAATCCGTCTGTCGCCTTTCTAAAAGAAGGTTAAAAATATTAAAAGATAAAGGTATTCACATAAAAAAGGGAAGATGGACTCAAAAAGAAACTTCTGTTTTGGTAAATAATTATCAAGAATTTACGGAAAAATTTGGAATAGATGACCCTGTTTTGATTTTTGGAATAGGCAAAAATAGTGCCGAAATACTACCATTTTTGAAAGCTAAACATTTTTATGCAAGATTAGGAAAAGGTTTAAATGATCGACCCCTAGCATCTATTTATAGTAAAGCTAGAGTGCTTTTGAATCCTTTGAGGAGAAACCGTGATAAATTTAGTAAAGCGGAAGTTTCTAAGTTAATTAAACTACGTGAAAGAGGCTTAGGATGGCCAGAAATCGAAAAAATAATGAAAAAAAGTGCTGCAAGTTGTAGTGCCGCTTATGCGTGGCATAAAAAGAAAGTGAATGGAGGTAAGTGGTCAAAAGAGGAAGAACAACAATTAGTGAAAGCTGTAAAAAAAATTGTTGGACCTATTAAATCAGTAAAGAAGAGATCTAATATACCTTGGTTTAAAATTGCTGAGTTAATGCCAACAAGAAATAGTACACAGTGTCGTCATTATTGGGAATTACATCTCTCATGGACTTGTGATGCGTCACAGAGAAAGAAATGGACTACTCATAATCTTGCAATGTTAATTAATATACTTAAAAATGAATACTGTGTAGAAGATGAAACTGATGTTGACTGGAAAAAAATACAAGAATTTTTTACACAATATTCTCCATCATATAATTACTTGCGAAAAAGATGGTATCGTTTGAGATCACGTGCGCCAAAAGGAAAAGAATTTCGCGAAGTAATTGATTTTTATTACAAAAAGTATAAAGCAATTATAGAATCTTTCAACAACATAAATCAAAGTAATTGAATGTTAATTTCCATCATTTTCACTGCTAAAATTTCTATTTATTGGTTCTTTCTATTGGTCCTTTTGGCGATTTTTTGATTTGGCGACAAACTTCGGTCGCCAATGTATACCCGGCTTTGAAGATCGGAAAGAAATGGTGGATTGTCAACAAAACCCGATCAATCCTAAAAAATAAGCTCTTGATCAGAATAAACAGTCTTTCTCTAATTTTCAACATTTCCAGTACTGCTATGATAAATTCTTGAAACACTACTGTAAAAGAATTTGGCACAGCTTTAGTATTAGTCCTTTTTGGCGAGAAATTTGTTTGGCGACATTTTGGAGCAACAAGCGTAAAATTACGATAACCTTGGTAACCCTAAATACTGAGCTCAAAAACATGCCGCCATTTCTGTCCACGTAACTTTATTGAATTTGGTAAGTATCGGAGCTTTGATGGCAGGAGGGATAAATTGCATGTTTTTCTTAAAGTTACGTTTGTGTTAGGAAAGCACAACATTTAAAATATTTTTAAAAAAGCTAAAATTTGACAGTTAAAACTGATGCTTTTAATATTACATCACATGAGTCTTGACATTTTTTCATATGTCAACTCTGCATATTATTATAAACTCCATACCCCAAGGGAAAAAAAAAAACACATTTTTGAGTAGCTTAAGGTAAACTCTTTGTGTTTCCTTTGCTAAGGAGATCAAAATTACCATGGTCTAAAAATACTTTTTTGCCTCATATTAGAACTATAGGGCATGGTGTAATTGCATGAATTCATAGGTTCAAATCAGGACCAAATTATTGCTTTTATAACATTTTTATAATTTGACTGACTATAAGAAAATATAATGTTGCTTAGATTATGGAATATATTGCTTATAATTTTACAGTTCTCAAATTTTGTAAATCTCATAACCTGTAATGTAGCTGTGTATGAATAAACCTTCACTGAGTATTATTACTTTTTATTAATAGTATGTTGACATAACAGTCGACTTTTTATTTTAGATTTTATGCAAATTTTTACGTTACTTAAACATTTAATCTAACAGAAATCTGAATTTTTGTTTTGTAATAAAAACTCTATAAATAAAAAAGAGTACAATTTATATATAAAAATTTGACTACATGGCAAGCACTTAGGTACTCATTTCTTTAAATGTTTATATTATAAATTATTCATGTCTTTAAATGTTATTATTATAAAGTTTAGATATATTCTTATTAAGATATACTTTTATTCTCTTATAATGTTTAGATGTACAGTTAGTATTTAGTCTAGATCGGATTTTGTTGACAATCCGCCATTTTTTTCCGATCTTGAAAGCCGGTATACATTGGCGACCGATGTTTGTCGCCAAATCAAAAAATCGCCAGAAGGACCAATACTAAAGCTGTTCCAAGAATTTATGGCAGTGATTATGTTATGAGTAATGAAATTTACAAAAGGTTAATATTTTAAATTACAAAATATAATATTAATGTATTAAACATTAATATTTTAAGTAGTTAGTTAATATTTATATTATATTAGTGCTTAGCTAATATTTTAAATTTACGATAAGTTAATTTTTATGTTATGATAATGAAATTTACAAGAGGTTCATAAATGCATTTCAAACTAGTAGTATATTTTACTTTAGTTTCGTAGATTCTGTTATTAAAAGAAAATAAAAAAACATTTCAAAGTGAAGGAAATCAAATTAAATTATAATGAGCAAGTTTTGGAGCAGCGTTAGAAATACTTTTATGATTAAATTTTGTAAATGGTAAAAATATTAAGAAGTGTATTTTTTAATCCGTAAATTTATTACAAGTAATTTATGTTTATAATTTAAAAGCTAAAATTAAATTATCATAATGAGTAAATTTTGTACCAATGGTAATAATACAACAATCATCATAAATGATTTCTGTGAAAAATTCGAACAGTCATTGGAATCCAATAGTGTTGGAGTGATAAGCCACTGAACAGTGGTAGTTCGGGCTGGCTATATGGAAGTTTTTGTGGTTTTTCATACATGTAATGTGAATCTGAGCCAGTTTCTCTTAAAAAGTACTTTATGAAGGCATCCTTCTTCAGCTAGCCAGCATATATATTTATTTTCTATTCTCTCTTATTTTCTTATTTCTTAATTCTAAATCTTACTTCTGAAGTTAAAAAGTGTTGCATGTATAGGTTGAAAAATATGGTTGATTTATTTGAATTTAAATTTTACATTTGAACTTAATTGTTATCATAAGTTATCTTGTCACAAGTGGTTGATTGAGTTGTAAGCACAAAGTGTGCCTTCTGTTCTGTAGATCTAAACTTTATAAGAGAATAAAAGGATATCTTAACTTAATAAGACTATATCTAAACTTTATAATAATAACATTTAAAGACATTGAAATCAGTATCTAAGTGCTTGCCATGTAGTCAAATTTTTATATATAAATTGTACTTTTACTTTTATTATAGAGTTGCGAAAACATGAACTAATTAGGATTTGCGATTTTCCAACTTTCATTTTGTCTTACTGTTAACGCTCTGTAAACAGAATAGAGCTTTATTTTTAGCATTAACAGGAAAAGAGTGTTTATCGGGTGTTAATAACGATTTGCGAAAATATGAACTAATTCTGATTTGCGATTTTCCAACTTCTATTTTGTCTTGCCGTAACGTTTCCTAAATCTATGTAAACAGAAAAAATCCCTTTTCGTCCTTCAAGAAAATTCCCTGAGTGGGTTGCAGGTTTGTAACGCTTGTCAGGGTTACCATAATCTGGCACACACGCACTCTTCCGAGATGTCAACAAATCGCCAAGGGCCGGTTATCTGAAAACTGTCGAGTTTTTATTACAGTCAATTATAGTTATTATTACAGTCAATTATAGTCAATTATAGTTATTATTTGTTTTATTACAGTCGTTAATTCGGACACCCATAATCCGGAATGATCTATAATCCGGACCTCAAAGCTACAAATTTTCTGCGCATGCGTCGCGTTCTCGCATGCGCACAGGCGTTTACAAGTGCACGTAAGACCTTTACGGCTGCGAATATGTTTGTGCGCATGCGCGTTTAATGTGTAACGGACGGTATAAGCTAAGCTAAAATTATCTAATTCAGTTAATGTTGCAGATTGCGTTGTTCCTTAATCTTCGAATTGGATCCGGCTTATTATTTTTTGCAGACTGTTAGAGCAATTTCATAAAAGTAAGCTTGAACTTTCGATTATGTCAAATAGAATTTCCGATATATATTTACTAATATGTAATTTGTATCTACAAAGCGAAAGTATGTTTTGAAATCCGAAATCTGTTTATCAATTTCACGCTGCTGCGGATTGGAAGTTGATCTGTCAGCACTATCCCTATCTTCAGGGCAGATGTTTTTATTTTATTTGGCTTATAATTCCTTACTAAGTGTAGTATTTCATCTCGATGTACTACTCCGTCTTTGATATGATTTAAATCAAGTTCCTCGTCATTATAATTCGCTTCCGATAGTGAAGAAAGTGACCCAGAGGTTATTGAAAACGAAAAAATTTCGTGGGTATTCTCAACACAGCAATTATAAGACTTGAACAGCGGAACTTTGTAACTAAACAAGAAATTATGTCTGTTTAATAGAATTAAAGAGAAAGTATTATCACATGAAATGAAGCAACTTACATTGAAAGAAATGTTTAATAAAGTAAACAAATAAATATTAAGCTTTTTCTTTTTGTAAATTTTGATGCCCTTTAGATCATAATTGTTCTCTATTTCATAAATTATGATTTCATATTTTTAATTTTGTAATTTCTGCATGCCATCTTACCAGATTTAAACTGATGATCTATAATCCGGAATCACCGAAGTCCCGACGAGTCCGGATTAACGACTTTTGACTGTACAAAAAATTCAGATTTCTGTTAGATAAAATGTTTAAGTAATGTAGAAAATTGGCATAAAATTTAAAATAAAAAGTTGACTGTTATGTCAACATACTATTAATAAAAGTAATAATACTCAGCGAAGGTTATTCATATACAGCTATTAGGTTGTAAGATTTACAAAATTTGAGAACTGTAAATTATAAGCAAAATATATTCCATAATCTAAGCAACATTATATTTCTTATAGTCAGTCAAATTATAAAAATGTTATAAAAGCAATAATTTTGGTCCTGATTTGAACCTATGAATTCATGCAATTACACATGCCTATAGTTCTAATATGAGGCAAAAAAGTATTTTTAGACCATGGTAATTTTGATCTCCTTAGCAAAGGAAACACAAAGAGTTTACCTCATGCTACTGAAAATGTATTTTTTTTCCTTGGGGGGTGAAGTTTATAATAATATGCAGAGTTGTCATGAAAAAATGTCAAGACTCATGTGATGTAATATTCATCATCAGTTTTAATAAAGCATCAGGTTTTAGCTTTTTTAAAAATATTTTAAATGTTGTGCTTTCCTAACACAAACATAACTTTAAGAAAAATATGCAGTTTATCCCTCCTGCCATCAAAGCTCCGATACTTACCAAATTCAATAAAGTTATGTGGACAGAAATGGCGGCATGTTTTTGAGCTCAGTATTTAGGGTTACCAAGGTTATCATAATTTTACGCTTATTGCTCCAAAATGTCGCCAAAAAGGACTAATACTAAAGCTGTGCCAATACTTTTTACTCTGCTTCTTTAATAATTGCCATTTGCTAGATATAATTTAAAATATAATATTTCTGTCGCAAAATATGTAGCTTTCCTGGTATTTTGTTTAACAGATGAAAACACAATTTTTTAAAAAAAACTAATGTTATACTTATTAAAATATATATAAATGTTAGCACGGGGTACTAAAAATTTAACCTTAAACTGTGATGCTTCTACCCCTTTTGGAATGTTGAATGTATTTTCAGCTGAATAACAACTCTATGTGAATGTATTTCAATATACATACATGATATTACTGCATGGTTACAGGTAGGTAATACTAATACTGGCTGGCTTTACAAAGACAGCTAAGAAAAGCTCTAGCAATAGTTTTAGTAAGCTCAGAGCATTTGCGATATTAAGAGTTCTCAGGTGTTATATGTCTGAAAATGTTATTATCTCAGAGTGAGATAAAAGCAATATTTGCTAGATGATATTAAGATAAAGCAGTTTAAGCTAAAAGGAAGTATTTATATTGTGAACTTCTCTCAGAGTCGTAAAATTGGTAAAAATGCATTAACATGAAAACAGAAATTAAAATG